GTGTTAGTTTACTGTGCATAAAATGTGCAGATTATTTTTCTGTAATTTGTCCTGTTTTAAAATGACACTAAAATTATGATTCTGGTATAAAGCATTGCAAAGTTACTCACAAATGAAATAGGTTTTTTTTTTTATGTGAAATTTTAAAAATATGTTAACAATGTACAAATATAATGACCAAAACAAGTTTAAATAATAAAATAGAAATTAAAAAAAAATCAGCAGGAAAATAATAATTGAATGGAGGAGAATAAAGAGTTAATTAGGGCTAATAAGAATAAACTAGGGGGTTAAACAAAGGGACATTTAATTAAAAAAAAAAAAAGCAGACCCTCTGCAGATAGAAGTTTATCCCTTTGACCTGTAGATGAATAAACAAAATGAAACATTGTTTCTTTTGAGCAATGTTGTTGATAAACATTGGCAAACTGCTTTTCTTTGACAGCTCCAGCTGTCAGAACTTTCTCTACAAGGCAATTCCTGCTTTGATTAATCAGAGCTGAATTGCTGACAGGGGAGGTCCTGGAAGCAGGGCCGAAAGACTGGATGTGTTACACTGTCTAACACATTCCGAGTTTGCAACTGGTTACCATTATCATCCAAAGTGAAAGAAAATCCCACATTTTTGGGTTGTTCCCAGAAAAGCAATAGAGGGGAAATCTTCCAATGGTGACACTAGTTCTGGTGTCCTGGGGGGTCCCCAGGGAATTCTCTTAATTTGCAGGGATTTCCTTCACTTTCTGTTTGGCTATGTGACAAGAAGTGAAGGTAAATCTCCCCAATGGGATACAGATGGCAAAAAATAAACTGACGCGTTATAACCCTCCCTTACGCTATCCAAAATGGAAAAAAAAAAGGTTTTGCCTATAGTTCTACTTTAAAGAATTCAAAGTGTTCTTTAATTGAACAAAGTGGAGATTGTGATGTTACCACCTCAGCTCTCCACATCATCCAGTCAAAGAACCCTTTGCATTCTTTGAGAAAATGCTTTATGAACAGGGGCAGACTGACCATTTGGAAACTCGGGCACTGCCCGAGGGCCTGGGGCCAGTAGGGGGCCCCATGAGATGCCCCTGGTACCTTTTTCATAGGCTTTTTTGAGTTTGGGCAAGGACACATGCGCCCCATAATTCCCTATTGCCCGGGGACCCCATGAGTTGTCAGTCCGCCCCTGTTTATGAATATGCAAACTGTGAAGGAGAACAACAAAAGAGAAGCGCACCAACCTTGCGCATTACCTCAGTAACCAAAATTTATTAAATAAAAGAATGGTACTCACAAACAGCGAATAAAAACAAGCATGTAAGTCCTCAAAGGGACTTTAGAGGCAAGATGCCAATGCGAATCCCATCATGGAGGAAGCCACTCAGTACAGTTGACGCGTTTCGAAGGACATGCCTTCTTCCTCAGAGCTCTGAGGAAGAAGGCATGTCCTTCGAAACGCGTCAGCTGTGCTGAATGGCTTCCTCCATGATGGGATTCACATTGGCATCTTGCCTCTAAAGTCCCTTTGAGGACTTACATGCTTGTTTTTATTCGCTGTTTGTGAGTACCATTCTTTTATTTAATAAATTTTGGTTACTGAGGTAATGCGCAAGGTTGGTGCGCTTCTCTTTTGTTGTTCTCCTTCACAGTTTTGTTTGGGCTTCCCCAGCCTTGGTGTGGAGCTGCACGACCTTGTCTATTCCGGTGGTCCCTTCCTTTTTGGAGTTTTATTCCATCTACTCACCACCGGCCTGGGTCCCGGAGCGCAGGAGATATTGCATTTGGTTTATGAATATGCAAACTCCTGTGTTCACAGTGCAACAGGGCAGCCACTCAGCATAGGACCTGGAAGCTAGTGGATCTCCTAGATTGTAAGCTCCAAGGAGCAGGGCCCTCCTTTCCCTCTTGTATTGAACTGTATTGTCTCCTGTTATATTGTACAGCACTGAGCAAAGTTGGCGCTATATAAATCCTGTATATTAATAATAATCCGTGTACTAGGGGCGTATGATACAGGTATAGCACATACTTACATTGTGCAAGCTGGACCAATGTAACTATGCAAAAATATCTATACCTGAACTTCAAATTTAACGTATGATTTAAAGCTGAATTCTGGAATACTAAAAATTCCTCTCTTGCAGTGGGGATGCGCCACCCAGCAATGGTTGATTCATAGTCTAGAGCAGCCTTTTTCAACCAGGGTGCCCAGGCACCCAGCTGTGTCTTCAGGGATGCCTTGGCAAAATGCCTAAAAATTGCCCAAAAATTGTATACAGCCAGCAGATGGATCAAGCCTGCCCTTTAGTTACATGAAGAAACAGGTTTTCATTGTGCACCATTACAACCTTCTAACCACCGGCATCCTAACAACCAACAATGTCATCAGATAAGGAGGACGTCGGGCGCCTGCACAGCATCCTTGTTTGTTCCTCTTCTGCCCTTCTCTGTCCACACTAGGGTTCCATTAGCTGAGTGAGGGAGAGAAACTGAGGGAGAAGAGAAACATTGAAATACTAGTCACTACCAGTGAACAAGGGAGGTGTATTTGCTTTATAAGACTAGATCACCTCTAATGTTGGGTGTCTTACGTGTGTGGATATTGTTGCATTATGGAAAACTAATATTTTAGTTTTTTACATTTTAGAATGGGGTGCCCTGAGAGTGTGCAGGATTTTAAGGGGTGCCTTGACTGAAAAAAGGTTGAGAAACACTGATCTAGTGGACAGGAAAGGCCATTTACTTGCCTGATCCTCCACTACCCCTGCAGATGGTGCTCTCCCCTATGCTTCAGCAGTGGATTGTTTCTCAGCATCTTCTCGTCCAGTGCAGGCCATGGACTTTGCATCACTCTTGCTGTGCTGTACATAGTAACTAATCTGGTTCCATCCTCAGCTTGTTCAATTAAGTTTTAAAAATTAAAGATAGAAGCTGATTGGTTGACAAGCACAGCAGCTTCAGATTCTGTCTGCTCCAGTTTTAGTAAATTCCCCTCTTTGGCTTCATGTGTATGGGCTTATGAAAATGAGCAGTATTTTTTTGTCAGAATTTGGCAGAAAAAAATGTCTCTGATGTTACAGTATGCACAAATGCATTCTGCTGGCCAAAACATGTTTACACACATATTCACGTATGCATGTTTTTTTTCTGCTCAAAAGTTTCCTTTAGAATGTGCCTCTCTGTAATAAAATAAACTTATTTGCCTGATCACAATCTTCTTCAGAAGGTACACACAGGATTGGAAATCTTGGGAAGTCTTCGAATGAGGATTCTTGTTCCTATGACAACTGTCTAAGTCCCTTTTTCACATAGAGTTTTTTTTGCATGCTTTTGCGCATGTGCTGACACTCAACATCAAGAATCTTTACATTCGAGGCATATGTTCTTTGAGCATACAGCTGTTACTTATCTCAGCCTGTTCAAAATGGAAATGTAGAATATGACTTTTTGTGGTAGCGTAAAGATTAGATGCTGCTTGGCAAGAAGCAGTCAGTGCGCACAGGTTCAAGTGGCGTAGTAAAGCCCAACAGTTCTAAACAAATGAGGAACAAATGGGCAGAAACACTGGAGTCAATGTCTGTGACAGAACTGTAAGACATCGCCTAAAGAAAATGGGATTTACATACAGAAAGCCAAATGAAAACCATAATTAACACCTAAACAGAAAAAAAAAACAAGGTTACACTGGGCTAAAGAAAAGCAATCATGGACTGTGGATGACTTGATGAAAGTGATATTCAGTGATAAATCACGAATCTTCATTGGGCAGGGTGATGATGTCTTTGTTTGGTGCCGTTCCAATGAAATCTATGAAGATGACTGCCTGAATAAAACATGCAAATTTCCACAATCATTGATGTTATGGGGTTGCATGTCAGGTAAAGGTACGGGGGAGATGAGAGTAAATAAATCTTCAATAAATGCACAAGTTTATATTGAGTTTTTGGAAACTTTTCTTATTCCATTAATTAAAAGGATGTTTGGTGATGATGACATCATTTTTCAGGATGATAATGCATCTTGCCATAGGGCAAAAGCCGTGAAAATTTTCCTTCAAGAAAGCGACATATAGGGGTTTATTTACTAAAGCTGGAGAGTCCAAAATCAGACTCCCTTCTGCATAGAAACCAATCAGCTTCTAACCTCAGCTTGTTCAATGAAGCATTGGCAATGAAACCTGGAAGCTGATTTCTATGCAGAAGGGAGTCTGATTTTGGACTCTCCAGCTTTAGTAAATAAACCCCATAATGTCAATGGCATGGCCTGCAAATAGTTTGGATCTCAATCCAATTGAAAATCTATGGTGGAAATGAAAGAAAATGGTCCATGACAAAGCTCCAACCTGCACAGCAGATCTGGCAACTGCAATAAGAGAAAGTTGGAGCCAGATTAATGAAGAATACTGTTTGTCGATAGGTAAATCCATGCCTCAGAGAATTCAAGCGGTGGTGAAACAAAGTACTAGTGGTGTACTGTTGTGTTTTTTTCATGATTCCATAATGTTTTCCTCAGAATTGAGCGTTTTCAGATTTTTTTCCTCTGCTTGGTCTGCAAAATCAGTTTCAATTGAATGCAGTTTTCTTTCTTTTTTATTTTTTTTTAAGTGTTTCTTAAACAGAAGATTGGAATGTTAAATGAAAGTAGTTTTGAGGCATGTCTGTGATTAGTTTTTTTTCTATGCAATTAACCAATTGAATGCATATTTTCCAAGAGTGGTGATTCCATAATTTTTACCAGGGGTTGTATTTAGCAATTCAACAGCTCCGATATAGGATATAGTAGTTTATGTTGTAGCATTGTAATCTGATTTACTTTTTCTGTATGTTAGTCTGTTTATGTTTCTCACCTTATCTATATTTACAGTAGTGGATTACCCAATGTTCTAAAAAAAACCCCCCCCCCCCTCTTTTTATTATGTATCAGCAGTTGTTAGCAACGTATTTCACAAAAATCTAATCCTTTGTTGTTGTTTTTTTTTGAATGACTGCTTATTTAACTTAAAACATTTTCTCTTTCATGTAACAGATTGTGTATGACCAGGAAGGAGTGTTTATACATTCCTCCTGTGGAAAAATGGAAGATCAAGACAGTTTAATTCCGGGAATATTACATGTTATAGAAAAGGTAGAGTTGCCTTTTTTTTTTTCATTTGTTATTATGAATGACAGTTGCAGAGCACTTATGAGACAAAAATATGGCACAAAAGAGAGAGGATATTGAGTTCCCTGACCGCAGGAGATTGCAGTCCACATTGTGTCATATAAACTAGACAGTAGGAAGTTGTTGAGCAATAAAGTAATCCTCATTTCTGCAATTTAAACAATTGCATTAGCCATAGTGCAATAAAAACATGATTTAGCATGTGCAATGCATAAATAACGATTAGTTGTGTATCAGTAGTGAAAAGTACAATTCGTGATGAGATCTCCACTGTACAGATATCTCCCTCATCCTACACTCCTTGTATACCTGCACAATCTATACTTCCCTTGTTTAACCCAGCTACTATAGAGGAGGTTGGTAAACTGTTTTCTAAAGCCCACCTAACCACCTGCCCCCTGGACCCTGTTCCCTCACAAATACTACGGTCACCCTCTGGCTCTATCCTTCATTCTTTAACTCATATCTTCAATCTCTCCCTTTCTACTGGCATCTTCCCCAACTCTTTAAAACATGCTCTAGTTACCCCCATACTTAAAAAAGCCTCACTTGGACCCCACCAATCTTGGCAACCTAAGACCCATCTTTTTACTCCCTTTTGCCTCCAAACTCCTTGAACGTCTAGTCTGCTGCAACCGGCTGAGCTGCCACCTTATTGAAAATAACCTTCTCGATCCCCTTCAATCTGGATTTCGCCCACAACACTCCACAGAAACTGCTCTCCTAAAACTCACAAACAAATTACTGTCTGCTAAAAACAATGGTCACTATTCCATATTCTTGCTCTTGGACCTCTCTGCTGCCTTTGACACAGTTGACCACCCCCCCTCCTCAAAAAACTCTATTTACTTGGTCTCTGTGACTATACTCTCCGTTGGTTTGAATCTTGGCTATCTCACCACACCTTCAGTGTCACTTACAACTCTACTTCCTCCTCTCCTACCCCTCTTGTTGTCGGGGTCCACCAAGGTTCTGTCCTTGGAGCTCACTTATTTATTCTCGATCTACACTCCTTCCTTAGGTCAGCTGATATGGTTTCTAATACCATTTCTATGCTGGTGACACACAAATCTATCTCTCTACTCCTCAGCTCACCCCATCAGTTTCCACACACATCATCCATTTACTAACAGATATATCAGACTGGATGTCACTTCACTTCCTAAAACTCAATCTATCCAAAACTGAGCTCATAATATCTCCTCTCCCACGTGCCTCTTCCCCTAATTTTTCCGTCAGGATCAATAGCATCACTATCAACCCATCCCTGCATGCCAAGGTGCTAGGTGTAACCCTGGATTCTGAACTATTCTGTCAGGCCCACATCCAATCCCTGTCAAAATCATGCCTCCTCAACCTCCGCAACATCTCTAGAGCTTTTGTTTCTTGTTCAGGCATGGATGTAGTTAAAGTGGAACTGTGGTCGGATTATGGACACTGAAATATTTGCATATTCCTAAAAGCAGTATATACGCTTTGAAATGAACCCTCAATAATATCTGTAGTTACAACCACCATGGATCAATTCATCCTCAAAGTTCAGTTGTCTCTCTCCTCTCTTCCTGTGCACCTGCTTAGTGTTTTCTTTACAGATTAGAAGATCAGCAAATTGCTAAATCACTGCTAGCAGGAGGGAGCTGGTCTGCAGGGAGGAAGTGGAACTAGGAAGCTTCTGCTGCAAACCTTAAGAATTAATTACTCCAGAGTGTCTGCAGCAATCGAGTTCAGGGCTTGTTTTAAAGAATATTTAGTGCTTATTACAGATATGTAAAAATTTCAATGTACATCGTCTGGCCAGTTTTACTTTAAAATCTCTTTCTTACCTGTAATATGATGTTTAGGGAATCTCAGTTGTTCACCTGTGTGGAACATGTCCTATGTATCCCTTTGTACTTATTGTTGTCTCTCACGTAGGGCCAGATGTCCAATACTGTATGGCAATAGTACAATATGCTGAGTAAAGCTTCATATTTATGTTTAACTGCTGCATTGAAATTTGTGCTTTTGTTTTTAATAATATTTTGTTTTATAGGATGTTGACGTTATAGTAGATTGGAGACCTCTTGAAGAAACTTTGGATTCATCAAACATTCTGTGTGCTGTAAAGGTATTTTACTTATGAGTATCCATCCATCTAAAAAATAGTAAAGCTTTTCAACTTTGAGGAGGTGAAACAGAGAATGATGGGCACTATAGTACCGTACATGAGAAACTCAATGCTATTGTTAATGATACCCCCCCGAATTTCTCAAAGCCTGGTCCCTTTGACTAGAGTATAATTGCCATATGAATTTAGAACGTTCTCTTCTCTCACTCTAAAACTGTCTCCAATGAAACCAATGTTGCTTTGGGTTTGGTTGGGTGGCACGGGTCTCCCTGTTTCCTCTTTACTCCTTCTTCCTTTTCTACCCTTTAATGTTTTCTCTCTATTCTCTTCTGCTCTTACCCCTTCTTTATTCCCTTTTCTCTATCTTCCTTTTCCCCTCATTCCTTTGTTCTTTTCTCTTCCACTTCTCCTTTCTTTTCCCTTTTCTAGCTAGATTCATATGTTCTCCGTTTTTATGCCATTTTTCTTTCAACCGTTGTTAGAAACTAGGACAATTGTCAAACAGTCCTGCAACATATTGATTACCCCTAACACTATGACCTTCGGCACAACTTGTAAATTGCAGATTGTATGACTTAAACCACAGTTGCCAGCTGTCCTCTCAGTTTGTATGCATATACTTACCCTTGCACACACACTTTCTGATTTTGGATCTATCTGCCCCCCTCTTCTTTATATGTTCCTTATCTTGTTGCTCTATACCCCATTATCCCTCTACTATTAAAGTGTTATTATAACTTTATGTATGTCTTTCTGAAACTTTCAAAACCTAATAAATGCTTTGCAAGGCTTTATTTACTCTAGCGGTGTTCTCTGAAGAGCAGTCCGCATTCAGATCGCTCTTCAGAGATCATTAACAGGTGGTGAGGAGACATTGTATCATCATCTTCTCACTGCCTGTTTAAACCCTTTAAATGTCGGGCTACCGCGCAGCAGTCATGTGCAATGTGTGCAGTTACGTGGCGGTTGCAGCATGCCCTCATTCACTTCAATGGGTTGCCTTTGGTGGGCGGCTGCTGAACGCGACAGGGAGTATAATTCCTGCTGTGGCTGTGCCATGTGTACACCCCTGGCTGCTGCCTTTCCAGCTAAAGAGGAAGGGGGGGTGGTTGGTGGATGGTAATAAATGCAGCTCAACCATGGGCCTAACCCTGAATCCCCCTTGGTTAGCTAAATGACCTGTTTTATATTTAGCAAAGATGTATAAAGTGAGTTAGAGTGGTTGTTAAGACCTAAGGTTTTTTTTTTACCTTAATTCATTCTCTGCATTAAGGTAAAATAACCCTTTAGGTACAGCCCCCCCCCCCCAATACTTACCTGAGCCTGATCTCGATCCAATGCTGTACCCGAGAGCTGCGGCACTGCGTTCTCTCTCCCTGCTTACTGGACTCAGTGACAGCAGCAGGAGCCATTGGCTCCTGTTGCTGTCAATCAAATCCAATGACAAGGGAACAGGGGGCCAGGGTCGAGCTGCACTGTGTATGTCAATAGATGCACACAGTGTGACTCTGAATTGAGCATGCGCAATACCCCTTCCCAGGAAGTGGCTTGATATGGGGGGTACTTGGAAAGCAGGAGGAGTCAGGAGCAATGGCGGGGGACCCTAGAAGAGGAGGATCAGGGCCGCTCTGTGCAAAACCAGGGCACAGAGCAGATAAGTATAACATGCTTGTTATTTAAAAAAAAAAAAAAAAAACACAAAAAGTGTGTAAGTGTAAATGTATAAAAAAAGGAAAAAACAGCGCAAACATAGACCTTTACATGAAATCAATATTACAAAGTGCAAACATAAGTGAAAAATTGATCAGTGGTAAAGTCCATCAAAATAAACCAAAGTTCAAAAAATATTAGTGCAAAAAAGAAAAAAAGAAAAAAAAGAAAAAAATATTTTCAAATTCTTCTTCTAATATAGAGGAACTTCCACCTTCCACCCGTGAAAACCAATATCAAATGCACTCACCAGATAAAGGTGTGAAAAAAACGCCTCTTAGGAATTTTATGGGATCCTACACACCCTCTTTCGTATCCACTCTATAGGAATCCTCCTCTCCAGCATAGGCTCCACCATCCGACCAGGGAGAAAAAAATCTCAGATAGTGTAATATTGTAAGACACCATTCATAAGTGAAATCAAGGATTAAGGTCACTCACATTCAATTCAATTTAAAAAGGCATATTTATTAGGATCAGCTTCTTCCAGATAAACAGTAGATGCAAGGCAACCTCCCACGGAATCTCACATCACAGCTCCAGGTTTCAGCAGAAGCTCTACAGAGACACCGCATATACAGATCCCAAAAGATGGCCGCTGGAACGCACCGCTCAGCGTGCGCTCCACTCACCGGAAGTGACGTCAGACGTACGGAGTACAAACCGGAAATGCGTCAACGCGTTTCGCCCCTCCCATCGGGCGTTCTCAAGATCGCCCCTCCCATCGGTCTTGAGAACGCCCGATGGGAGGGGCGAAACGCTCAGTGTTGACGCATTTCCGGTTTGTACTCCGTACGTCTGACGTCACTTCCGGTGAGTGGAGCGCACGCTGAGCGGTGCGTTCCAGCGGCCATCTTTTGGGATCTGTATATGCGGTGTCTCTGTAGAGCTTCTGCTGAAACCTGGAGCTATGTGTGATGTGAGATTCCGTGGGAGGTTGCCTTGCATCTACTGTTTATCTGGAAGAAGCTGATCCTAATAAATATGCCTTTTTTTAAATTGAATTGAATGTGAGTGACCTTAATCCTTGATTTCACTTATGAATGGTGTCTTACAATATTACACTATCAGAGATTTTTTTCTCCCTGGTCGGATGGTGGAGCCTATGCTGGAGAGGAGGATTCCTATAGAGTGGATACGAAAGAGGGTGTAGGATCCCATAAAATTCCTAAGAGGCGTTTTTTTCACCTTTACTGGTGAGTGCATTTGATATTGGTTTTCACGGGTGGAAGGTGGAAGTTCCTCTATATTAGAAGAAGAATTTGAAAATATTTTTTTTCTTTTTTTCTTTTTTTCTTTTCTTTTTTTGCACTAATATTTTTTGAACTTTGGTTTATTTTGATGGACTTTACCACTGATCAATTTTTTCACTTATGTTTGCACTTTGTAATATTGATTTCATGTAAAGGTCTATGTTTGCGCTGTTTTTTCCTTTTTTTCATTGTTTTGTGTTGATCACAGTGCACAGCAGCAGGATAGAACCTGTATTAGAGTGTTTTTACTAGGCGCAGGAAGAATTTTTAGTTTTAAGTGTAAATGTATGTCTATATGTATCTTGCGAGCCAAGTAGTATCTACTAAATATCCACCTTAAAGCACAAATCAGGACAGAATATGTCCTTGATATTACTGGATCGCAAACACCCAACACATAACTACCACTGTGTACATAAATTATTTCACCTTCTTGTGTTGCGCTCCTTATTAATTAATATCTCTTTAGATACTTGCAATCTCAAAATAAATAATCATATATTACTTAGTGATCAAATATAAAAAAGTTGTATAAACATAAATTCATAATTTTCATAAATTCATATATAATAATAACTTAATATATAAAACATATTATTAATCCATGTCCGTGATTAAATAATAAATTATAATTAATTGTGAATCATAATTTAGTGAAAAAATAAAAATTTTAAAAATGCCGTGAATAAATACTCATGTAAAATTAATTGATTAATTTAGTGCAAAAGCAAAGTCCCATTAATCAAAACAATATATAAAGTGACTCTGTGTTATAATAAATCTTGAATCCGTGACTGATTGTGAATCCGTGACTGTATTTGTGAATCCTCCAATTAGTGCAGATGTAAGCTCACCTCCTTATCTGCCTGCAATTAGGCTATATGCGCTTTTGGTTCACCTCCTTTGGATCCTGCTTGATTAAGATTTCTCCTCTTTAGATTGTGGAACAGGGATATCCTTTAGTGCTGATTTTCCCCTCTGGGGTTAATCACTCCTCACGGTGATACAAGCCCCTATACTCTCCTCTCCATGCGTTTCTCCACATGCAGGAAAAAAATGCCAAACATAGTGTTTTATCCTTTTAAAACACTGTTTTATTCCTTCCAAGTAGTACACTCACATATAGTAAAAACGATATGAGGCAATCCAGTATATAGCGAATCCTCCGCCAACCATTGAGTCATGTACCCGCCGTCTGTGTAACAATCCGGCTATCTCCGAGTGACGTTGCAGCCCCACCCCTACACGTTACGCCACTGGTCACGTGGCTTCATCAGGGGGTATCAACCCCTTTATTTCATTGATGTACTGCAATTTTTTTTTTTTTCGCTCTTACACTTTAGATATTGGAGTCAAATCTTGTTCTGATAACTTTACAATAGTGCTTTGTTCATTTTTTTTTTTTTTTTTTTTATATATAACTTTAATGTAATATTAGAGTGAGATGCTTTTATTTTATTATAACCTTAAGGCTGAAGCTTAGTTAAAATGTTACAACATAGCTTAACTCTAATGACATGTATCCTATGTCCTGCTGGTTACTGTAAAAAATTTCCTTTTAGTGATTCACAGTGGTGAATTTCAAGACTGCATGTGTTACCTGCCTCAGCTCTAACAGAGAAGTATCACGCTGCTCTCTCTCCCCTAATATTATTGTCGCAGATTACAACGCTTTTTGCCTGCCTCTCCTCCAATCACAGAATGCTTTGCATCACTGAAAGAAGAATCTGGCATTACCAGCTTCCAGCAGAGGATGTGGGATACAACTAATAAAATGAAGTTATGTTCCTGGTGCTGTCTACCCAAAACATTTTTAATTAAACTTCAGCTTTAATGGAAAGTGAGAGTGAGCATTCTCATGAGAAGCTTTTTTATGAATATCTTTTATGAATAATCTTTTATTTTTTAGGATTCTAGTTCAGTTGTAGAGTGGAATCAAAGTCCAAAAGAGCGGCCTGTCTGCACTGAACATCAGAACAGCTATGAAGCAGAGTGGGATATGGTCAACACAGTTTCCTTCAAGAAGAACCTTCCAAAAGGGGGTTTGTATTACATTTGTTTTGATTGACATGAAGGAATACTATGATTAGCCTGTGTATTGTTTATAAGCACAAACTACTGTTACTTAGAATGTTTTTTTAAATATTAACCTCTTCCTGCCTAGCCCTGGGGTCCCTTTAACTGGGCTATTATGCCCAGGGGCAGGAAGGTCTGCTCGAATATGTGACTATTGTGATTGGCTTTCACAGTGGTCACATTGTGCTGCCAGCACTTGATGATTAGTACAGACCGAGAGCTGTCTTTTTTTTTTTAACTTTCTCTTTATTTCAATTTAAGAAGAAGAAAAATCACAGAAAAGAGAAAAACATACAATGGTAGAGTACAGAAATACTAGGCATCCAAAAAAGTAGAGTAGAATGGTACAATAACAGTACATGTTGTACAGCATAGATCCAAGAGATATCCAAAAGAAAACAAGAGAGCTGTCTTCAACAGCTCAGTCACTGTGCTGGGGCATGCAGTGAGCATGCTTCCAGCACAGAAATCCCTGCTGCCCATGGACACATATGTGCGGCGTGTAGGCGATAAAGCCCACCTTCTTTGTCACCGCACATATGCGATATGTGGGTGGCAACAGGTTAAGGCGATATTCTGCTTCCTCACACAAGATCTGTGTAAATGAAATGATTAAAAACCAGGTACAAATACTTTTATAGTTTTAGATAAAGTGGGGTTCAAATCTTTGTCAGGTTTTTATTGCTGTTTGTTTATGGGAAATTCCTCTATTTCCTATTTCCCTGTACCAGAGAGAGATTGAGGGGAAATCCCTCCAAAGTTGAAACAAATCCACAAACAAAACACCCAAGGATTGAAGAGAACTAGAACAATTGTTGGATAATTATGCCCGCCTGAGTAACTTTTGTAGTGGAACATAAAGGGGTTGATTTAGTAAAGGTGGATAGTGCAAAATCTGGTGTAGCTTTGCATGGTAGCCAATCAGCTTCTAACTTCAGCTTGTTCAATTAAGCTTTGGCAAAAAAACCTGGAATCTGATTGGTTTTCTTTGCAGAGCTGCAACAGATTTTGCATTTCTCCAATTTTAGTAAATCAGCCCCAAAATGTCATTACCCCTGACAAATTGAGAGCAATTTACATCTTCTCCTAAGTAACTCAGATGTCCAAGACATCATAGCATTGGAATTTGGTAATTGTCATATGTAAATTAGAATTGACTTTAACACCTCCATTCATGTTCCTGGACAGGCACAATCTACTGTGACACATTTCCTAACACCATGGTGATTGGTTTAAAGTGGTTCTAAAGGCTTAAGGTTTTTTACCTTCATGCATTCTATGCATGAAGGTAAAAAACCTTCTATGTGCAGCAGCCCCTAGCCCCTCCCCCCACACACAAACAATTCTTACCTGATTTTCTTCCGATCCAGCGATGTTTACAATAGCCATGGCTGTATGGGGGCCCTCCCTCCTCTTCATTGGCTGAGATAGCAGCTGGAGTCCATTGGCTCCTGCTGCTGTTAATCGTAGCCCGCGAGCCAATGAGGAGAGAGCGGGGCCGAGCTGTGGCACTATGTGTCTTATGGACTCATAGAGCAGTGACTCCAGGGCAAGCAGCTTTTCCTGGGGGCACTGCTTGAGGGGGAGGAGCCAGAGCACCGGCGGGGGACTCGAAAAGAAGAGGATCAGGGCAGCTGTGTGCAAAACTACTGCACAGAGCAGGTAAGTATGACATGTTTGTTATTTTGAAAAAAACAAAGCTTAAGTATCATTTTTAACCTCTTGCTGCCCACATAATGCATATGACCGAGTTGTCAAAAACAGCTCTTGGTCCGTACTAATGAGTTGGTGGGACTGGTTCTCGATCATGTGACCACTGTGCAAGCAATCACACTGGTTACGTGATTGGCAGTTCATTCCACCCCCTGCGCATACAGACCCTATTAAAGGGACTCCAGTGCTGGGTATAAATACTGGAGCATGTATTTGTTCTGAGGAAGTTACTTGGGTGAATGATGAAATTATTTCATCTTCGCAGAACAAATCCTGCTGGATATGATTAACTACTTTCCTTTTCTCATTTTGTATCTTGTGCTTTTTCAATTTGTTTACTTTTACAGTTTGTCAAATAAAGCCAAATGCAGCTGAAATTTTGCATTCTAAAGTAGATATTTGGTTTTCTAAAGTACTGTCTGCCATAAACATTGTTAATTTTTTATGATCATAAAATGGTGGGGGTTTTTTGGCCTTCAGTGCTGCTGATTTTCTACAACCTTTTTTAACTACTTCCTGTTTATATGTACTTTCTCAAGAATTGGCTACAGCTTACTCTGGATAAGCTTTCTGATATACAAAATGTGTTGGCGCAACCTCTTGTAGTCTCCTCCGACGTTTTAATCTTTGTCGCTTTTGGTCAATATGAGATGTACAGGCAATGAATAATGCATGTGGGGAAACTGCACATAACAGAATATCATGTATGTATTCTATAGAGCTAGGAAAAAGTCTGCATTTGCAGCACACTCAAATTAAATTTATTCAAGATGAGATCAAGTGATCAAGTTTATGGTGTTTCCTAAAAGTTACAGTTCGAGCTTGCGTCAGCCCGTCAGACATAAAACACTAGTGATTATATGAGATCCTACACAGAAAAACATTCAGATAGGAACCAGAGGCATAGTAATTGGCTAATAATCGAATTGGCCTAATATAGCAGCCTTTTTCAACCAGGGTGCCTTCAGGTTGAGAAACACTGTAATTTAGCATGTGTACCTCTTAAGAAAAACCACAACGAAATAGTACACATGCAGACGAGAAACAAGTATATTCTCATAATAAGATATCATCACACAGTTATTCTGTAATTAACCAGAAAAAACAAATAAAGCACAACAGATTTCAAAGGCATAATTGTAAATGTTAATGCAATTCAGAATTAAGCCTTTGAGGCTCTAATGTACCTAAACCGTAAATCCAGTTTGCTTCAAGATGAAATCGCAATCTCCTATCCTCCTGCTCTTAGGAATATAATCAACTTCCATGAATTTTAATTGTGACACTGAATGGGAGCCTTCCACAAAATGTCTAGCTACTGGTAATTGAATTCTTATGTCCCTAGTATTTATGACATGCTTATATGTTCTTAACTTTTTGTGTGATCTCACCTACATAATACAATCCACACTAACATAACCCAAAAGGAAAACTTCCCCTGTTCCTCCTCATCACCCCCTCCTATGCCAAAGTTGGCATTTTTTTTTTTTGGGGGGGGGGGGGGGGGGGGGGGGAGCAGGTACCTGATTTTGATACCACCGCCACTTCCACCTGACTACCTAGGCCAGTGGTGGGCAACCTTTTTTTTCAACTGAACCAAATCTCGCTAAAACCACGATTGAAATTTATTTTGAGAGCCACATTTTTAAAACTGAAAATACATCCCCCATATAGTAATTCATCCCCCATATAGTAATTCATCCCCCATATAGTAATTCATCCCCCATATAGTAATTCATCCCCCATATAGTAATTCATCCCCCATATAGTAATTCATCCCCCATATAGTAATTCATCCCCCATATAGTAATTCACCCCCCATAGTAATTCATCCCCCATATAGTAATTCATCCCCCATATAGTAATTCATCCCCCATATAGTAATTCATCCCCCATAGTAATTAATAACCCATATAGTAATTCATCCCCCATATAGTAATTCATCCCCCATATAGTAATTCATCCCCCATATAGTAATTCATCCCCCATAGTAATTCATCCCCCCATATAGTAATTCATCCCCCATAGTAATTCATCCCCCATATAGTAATTCATCCCCCATAGTAATTAATCCCCCATATAGTAATTCATCCCCCATAGTAATTCATCCCCCATATAGTAATTCATCCCCCATATAGTAATTCATCCCCCATAGTAATTAATCCCCCTAGTAATTCATCCCCCATATAGTAATTCATCCCCATATAGTAATTCATCCCCCATATAGTAATTCATAATTCCCCCCTAGTAATTCATCCCCCATATAGTAATTCATCCCCCATATAGTAATTCATTCCTCATATTGTGTCAATTCACTTACCTTTGCTCCGCGCGTTCCTCTCGCCGTGTTCCCGCGCCGTTCCGGTCTTCAGGGCGGACTGTGAGAGGAGAGGAGTTAGTCACGCTGCCCCGCCTACATCCTGACAGCCAATGTTTGCCACGCTCCGTGGGATTAAAAGGTCCGCCGGGCCGTAGTTTGCCCATTGCTGGGCTAGCTGCAGAGTCCTGACTTTTGGGGCGGCCGCCCGAGAGGAGGGAGGGGAGCGGGCGCCCGGCACACAGAAGAGACACATTAAAATGTGTAAAGAGCCGCATGTGGCTCGCGAGCCGCGGCTTGCCGACCACTGACCTAGGCAATCGGAGCGGAAGTTTTGCCTCCCCCCTCCTCTCCGCAGCCTCTTGGGACATGTGACAGGTCCCAAGAGTCTGCGGGACCATTCACAAGGCACAGCACGGCTCGAGCATGCGCAGTGGGCAGCTGGCTGTGAGGCCACAAGCAGTCACAGTTGGCTGCCCATAGTGAAGATACCAGCGCCGGGGACCGATGAGCAGAGAAGAAACCCACTGGGGTGAGCATGGCACTGGATCCCTGGACAGTTTTTTAAAAGCAAGCAGCTACAGTTTTTAATTTTCACAGATAGGATTGAAGAATTTCTTTAAGAATGTATACAGCAAAACTGGTCTGATAGGTGTAACAGTCTTGCATTTTAATTTGGCGCTTCTGGTGTAACTGATAGAATATGGGTGATTTAAATGCAATTGATGCAGAAGAAGGGCTCAATATTATGGGGTCCCATACATGTAAATATATGTAATTGTACTTGTAAATATAAATAAAATTATATAATGTGCATGGTGTGCATTGCATATTAGCACATGATGACAGACTCAGCTGCTAAACGGACCCCTCCAGCAATGCACTCTCGGCACTCCCACTGGTTAGGGGTGCTGTCATCTCCTCTTGGTCTTCCTT